TTCTGTTGCTGTATAAACACCATGACCAAAAGCAACTTGGTGAGGAAAGGGTTTATTGCACTCCACAGTCCATCCTTGAAGGAAGCAGAGGCAGTAGCTTGAAACAGAGACCATGGAGGAACACTGGTTCATTCACAGGCTCAGGACCAGATTTTTTTTTCTGCCCTAGGCAGACTCACTTGCCTAGGGGTGATATTACCAGCCATGGGCTGGGCCTCCTACCTCACTTAGCAATCAAGAAAAGGCCCCAACAGACCAGCCCACAGGCCAATCAAATAGAAGCACTTCCTCAGTTGAAGTTCCCTTCCCCCAGGTGTGTCAAGTGACAGTCAAGATTAGCCACAACACCAGCACAACATACAGCCAGATGGGCGGCACAGGCCTGTAATCCAAGCATTCGGGAAATGGAAGCAGAAGGACCAGAAGCTCACATGTATGCTGATACCACGATGATACACACTACAAAGTGAGTTAGAGGTTCACGTGGTCATAGGAGACCCTGTCTCAGCCCCCACTTGTAATAAATACATACATATGTACGTACGTACGTACATACATACATACATACATACATACATACATACATACAGTTCTGGACAGATACGTGATGGAGGCCTGGTTGGGAATAACCACCCACAGCCAATGCCTTGACTTGAAGATAACCCAGACAGGAGTGTCACCAGCCTGTCCTTGCTTCCCCTTCCTCTTTCTCTGTTTCTACATTTCCGCTTAAAAGTCTTTGGGCTTCTGCATCCCTGTATTCAAAAACCACATTTTCTCCCCAGCCCTCCTTATGCATTCCCCTGGCTCCCATTCCTTCTTGTTCTCCACCACAGCCTCCCCTGTCTACAACACACACTCACTCCTGTCCCCAGCATAGCTGCTCCTGCCCTCAGAGCAGCCACCTGTGCCCCCACAACAATACCCTTGTCCCCAACACGGTCACCTCTGTCCTCAACACACCCATCTGTGTTCCCAACACGTTTCCATGGCCTCTCCCTGTGCAACCACAGCCACTTGTGTCCTGGAGTGATCACCCTCCACACCAGCCCTCTAGGGCCAAATGCCTGCCTCACCTGGGCCTTGGTGGGCCGTCAGCGTGGGCTGAGATGCGTGAGTGAGACGCCACCAGACAGATGCTGCATTTGCTGGAGGTGGGGATCTGGTCCACAGATGTCTGTTGTTGAATCCACAGATTTTTTTTTTAATTGACTCAACATTTTTAAATGGAATATTTTACATGAAATGCCAGATTTCCAGCTTTTCTATAAAAAGTGACTGTTTTGGTATCCCGAGCCCAAACTCATTTCTGGCAGAGAATGTGTGAGGCTGAGGGGCCCGCTAGGCCCCTTGGTATAAGCAGGAACCTTCCAGGTCACCCTAAGATCCAGCCCTCTGCATGGTTCACTGGAGGTCCTAGGGTGTCTGGAGTGTTAGAGCATGCACCCTTAAAGCACCTTTCAGGGGTGGAATCTAGAATTTTAGCCGACCATTCTCCCACCATAGGTTGCTCTAAGTAAGAGTGAGTGACTTTGCTCCCACACTGCCCCCCTCCCAGTGGCAGGACACACCTCAGCATCACTTGCCCGCATCATCAGCCTCCAACTGAAAGACCCTCCCTCGTCATCGAAATGCGTGTGCCTTCGAATCCAAATAGCATGATTCATACATACTAAAACCTGGCTGAATCAAGAAGGAAAGCATCTCCTGTAGAGTGTAGCAACAACAGTTATGTATGGATGATATCATACGCACTACATACATTATGGAAAGTCACATCTGAGTCACAGATCTCTCTTTGGCTAGGACCAAAGACTCCTCGGAAATCCACTCAACCGCTTCAGGAAACCTTTTGTGGCTGCTTGAAGCCAACGCCCTTCATACCACAAACAGCCGGAGATTGCTTTCTTGTCCCCAAGAAGACAAAACAGAAAGAGACAATGGCTTAAAAGTCAGTTCTCCAGAAAAAGACTAGTAACTTCCATTGGTTTTAACTGAAAAGGTGAAAAAATACAGCAGGTCCCCATGAAACATCAAGAGACTGGGTAGCGTCCCTGTTCTCCATGTGCGGTTGACACCAAGAGCCTTCTACTTGTTTCCACGCAGAAGAAGTGCATCTGTGTGGCTGGGCAGGCAGATGGCAAAGCAGCAGAAGAAAACCAAAGGGACTAAGGGTGTCCAGACTGGAGAAGAAACGACGGTCATACTCAAGACATCCGCAAGCGGACCTCCACTCGCAGGAAACACAGCATTTCTGAGAAGATGGCTGAGCCCTTTGCAATGCCGCCATCACAGACATCCTGGGAGGTTTCATAGGGATGTCACCCCCTGGGCAGAGTGATGGCCCTGAACCTCTAGGATTCCTATCATTCTGAATGTTCTCTGCTTCCCTCTAAAGACCTCTTAGAGAAGAAGTGCTGAAACCAAATTGCTGTCCAGCATTTTTCTTGGCTCTGCAGGGTTCCCCGGGGCTTCCAGCTGGTGCAACCAAAAGCAACAATGGCTAGCAGTTGACAGGTGGGAGCCAATGGAATTCGAGTCTGCAGGAAAGGAAAGGGTGGGACAGATCAAGGACAGTCAGAACTGACCCTTCGCGTGGGGAAGTCATTTCCAAGGCTCCATGGTCCTTCTCTGCACTTTCCTAGCCATGTAGCCTGTTCTCTGAGATCTCCACAGCTAAATTAGGACAATGGCAGACCATTATTTTCTTTCCAAGCTGAGAAATAAAAACTTCGTCACAACTAGTGCTTATACATGGACCAGGATGGGTAGGTATGCCCGCCACTAGCATACACCATCATCGTATTTATACAGATGCATGTATATACAGATATACACACAGATCCCTAATCATGCAGATAGGCACACAGCAGCACACACACATAGATATGCACATGTAAGACATACACCAATTAACATTTAAAACATAATAATAATAATATAATAAAAAAGCATGCTTATAAAAATTCTAAAAGTAGTGATTAACAGGGTCTTGTTTACTTTCATCAAGTTGCACTGATAGCTTTTGGAGACCTTTATGGGTGTCGATTCTAAAAAGAGACCATCGCCAGAAGTGGGCTTGGGGATATCATCTGTGGTTTCTTGTGTCAGTGCCAGAGCAGAGGGAAGATCACACCTCCATACCATTGAAGCCCAGGGCCCTGGAAACCAGGGCCTCTTCTTTGAACAGAGAGTGCCACTTTCAGGGACAGGGTCAGTATCTATGTGTGAGAGTCAGGCTTGGGTAGTGACTCCATGTTTAGTGCTTGACTGACGTGGGGATCTGGGGTCAGGGTTAGACGCAATCTAAGTCCTGTTGCTAAGGTCTCAGAGCCAGAAAGAAAAGAGCAGGAGCCACTCCCTGTCCTTGGAAAGTATGGAAGGGCTGTCTTAATAACCAGGGCTAGGAGCAAGCGTGGTGAGGCTCTAGGTCCTGAAATCCCAAGGACGCTGGCCACCGCTTAGATGGGCTGGTATGACACAGAATGTTTTGACACAGAAGGGCACTGAAGTCATGAAAGCCGGAAGTCTCGATTCTCATTCTAAATGCCTTTTAAAGTAATGGGGATTTTGGTAGACCACAATTCAATTGCTAAGTGATTGTATTGAATAAAATGTTCAAATGAGATTAATTGGCCCACTTACAGCCGAAAGACCGCTGCATAAAATAAGGTACAATTTTAAGGAAAGAGCAAAAGAAAATGCTTAGCGTGTTTTTCGCCTTCCCAGTCTGTGGCCTTGGTGGATGCTTCTGCAGCATTCTATGAGTGCCCCATTGGTGGAAAGAGGCCATTGGTGGACAGTCCGCACCCAACAGCCACACGCTACTTGGCTCACGTTCCTGGGTCATAACCTCAGGCTGGCTTCACAGGAAGAGGAGCAGACCCTTACAGAGGACATGGAAGAAACTGTAGTGTTTGCTGGACAGCTGCAACTACAATAAAAACTCCTGGATTTGGATGATGTCACCTATCATCTTGCTGTTAATCTGCTGTTCGAGCCTCTCTTGACATAGATCCGATCTCGGTGCCAGAGAGTTCATATACCACATGGCTTAGCCATAGAGTATCTGGACATTTGGTCAGTGCTACTCCGGGTATGTCTGCCAGGGATTTTTGGATGCGATCAACATTTGAATCAACAGAAGGCTCTTCTGAGTGTGAGTGGGCCCTGGATAACCCACTGAAGGTCTAACTAGAAAAACACAAAAAGCTGACCATGGGAGAAATTGTTTTTTTCTACCTGATGGGATTTGGTCTTCAACCTCCAGACATGTACTCCAACCTAGAACCTGGAACCATCTGTCCACTGTACCTCCAGTCTAACGCTCTGGGACTTCTTAACCTTCACAGTGTGTGAGTCACTTCATTAGGAGCTACCCAACACTTATCATCTACTTATCTATCCATCCATTATCTATCTATCCGCCCTCTATCAGTCTCTCCATCTATACATACATATACGCATATATCACTTCATTTATCTGTATGTTCATCCGTCTAATATCAATCCATTCATCTATCTATCATCTATCCATTCATCCATCTATGTAGCTTCCATTCGTCATGTGTCGTTTATGCCTCTCTCCTTTCCATCCTTCCTTCTTCAGTCCAGCTTCTTTTACAGGTCTGAATGTGATGACCACAAAATACTAGTCCATAATAAAATATTTCCAAACCTACAAAACCAAAATTAATCAAAAACCCAATCTGAAGTGTTGCTGGCAGTGTCTGCCTGGGTTGTATCATGTGACTTCCCTGCGGCTTTTTTTCAGAACACACAGTGGTTACATATGCATCATGTGTGTCGTCATCACAGGTGGGAGGCACAGCAGGCCAGAGTCCAGAGAGATGAGAGATAAATGCTTAGAAGGCGGGCAGAGGGGAGCAGCAGCCAAGCAGGTGCAGTGGGGTGCTCTGGGAAAGGGATGGTTCCAACGGGGGGGGAGGGGGCAAATGTCTTAGTAAGCAGAAAGTTGCCCATGTGGTGGGCACCCCAAGGGTGTCACAGTGAGCTCCAGGAGCCAAAGAGAGGACGCTTGCCGAGTAGGTGGGCAGAGATGGATGGATAGATAAGGTGAAGGGAGGAAGCAGCTGAAGAGGGAACTCAAGAATGGAATCCGGTCACTGCCGACCAAAGTCCACAGAAACAAAGGATCCGTACACACCTTAGCAGAGTCAGAAGAGCACCTTGGTTCAGAGCAGCTGAGGTCCCTGGAAGGGAGCTCATTTATGCCACTCCCACCAGATGAATGAAAGAAGAGAAATAAAATGGAAGGACACGGCTGTTCCCAGGTATGGTCGGGAAGAACGTTTATCTTTATTAGATAAGAGAGAGAACAGAGTCAGAGGCAGGGACACCTGGGAGAGTCCAGAGTGGACATGACCAGACGACAGCTGGGCCATATGAAGAGAGGGCAGAGGGAAGACCCAGACCAAGACGCCAGGAGCGTGGGAAGACCAGATAACCAAAATGGTTGGATTGTATAGGGAAGGGCAGCTGGGGGAAGACAGCCCAAATTTAGGTTAGTAGTGGGCTATGCCAGCTGTACCCTGTAACAGGTAAGGACTGAGGGATGCAGGGAGAACCTGGAAACCAGGTTCACTGAGATATGTTAATGACACCCCTATTAGCCATTTGTCCTGACTTGAGACCTAGCACCATGAAGCAACAACAAAGCTACAGGACATCAAGTCTGATTAGGTTTTCACTGTTGGGTTGTAGGCGGCAGCATCTTTGCTATACAAACAAAGCTCTCACCTGTTACAGACATGGAGTTGGATAATTACGAAAATGAAAACTTTTAATATTTCCCTAGGATGTTCAGCAGGTAAGGATAAAATTAGAACGTCTTTGGAATGTTTATGGCTGTTTTGGGGCTAGGGAAGTAGCTGAGGGTGGAGAGCCCTTCTCCGCCATTCACAGAGCTCTAGGCTCCGCCCTCAGCAGCTCTGAGTAACTGAGAGTGGTGGAGCTTACCTGCGATGCAGCACCCAGGACGTAGAGACAGGGCAGTCAGAAGCTCAATATTACCCCTGGATTCACAGTAAGCTAGAGGCTAGCCTGGGATGCAAAAATTAACAGACAGACAGACAAACAGGCAGACAGTTAAAATTGCTGTTTGAGCTTAATAAAAAAAAACTTCAATGGGTTTTGTCTTGGGATTAGGAAAGAATCTCCCACAGTTTCGGAATTGGCCGTAGACAAACTCTGCCATGTTTTACTGCATATTTACACAAATGGTGTTCTCAACATCAATAACTGTAAAAAATATAGATCCACTCTGAACATTGAAGATGCTCTAAATCTTGTCGTGTGAAGGGATCCTGCCGAGATTTAACTCTTTATGTGAGCAAGTACACCCATCTCATTAGTATACAGAGTCCCTTCATCTTTACTAAATGGTAAAATTAAATGTGTATCAATGATTTGCTCTAAAATAAAAATTTTCATGATTTTTTTTATCATAAAACATTTGATTTTGTCTATTTTATGTGCCTATCTACCAAGGGTCACATACAAAATTCTATTTTTAATCTATCATCCATCTTCCTCTCCTGTAGATTCTTTTTCTCCAATGTCTGTTTTCTTCCACTGCGGGCCTGAACGTGGTGGTCACAGAATTCTTGGCAAGAGTGAAATGTCCTGAACACGGACCACTCGGAGAGGCTTGAGCGATGGAGCCATGATGGCTGTGCACGGTCGTCTGCAGCTTCCTCCCCACCAACACGACTTCCTGCTCACCCAGGACAAACTCTGGCTGCTGCTGCTGCTGGGTTGGCAATGCTTCTTGCCCGGGGCAGGGCATTGCTGAGCTAGGCTTCAGATCCAGGCGAGCCTATTGTACTCTTGTGTTTCATGCGCACACTCACTGTGTCCTTCCTTCCCTCTCTCTGCATAGGACAAAAGGGTGGAGGACGAGACAGGCACAGGGGCCCAGAACCAGACAGCATAAGCAAATACTACAGAATGGCAGGTATAAAAATCAAGAAATTCAGAGTCCAAGAGAAGGCTGTAAGGGATTGCTGTCGCAGATCACGGGGGTGTGGAGAGGCAGACGGTTCTAACCTGAGTGTAAGAAAGGCTGGCTGGCAGTTGAACAGGAGCCCAGAGGAGTGACACACTCCAATGAGCCCGCAGCGGATTGCCTGGTACCAGATGCTTCTATTCTCTTCTCACAGGGCTCATGCCAGGCCTTGGTGAGTCTGGCTGAAAGCCCCTCAAGTGAGAAATACTGGAAGCAGCTGACGGCCAGTGTCTGTGGGCGCCCGGAGCAGCCCCTCTGTTCTGGCAAAGATATTCCCCTGACAGGTGGCAGGGGGGAGCCCGTTCCCAATCCAGCCACACAGGAGGATAGACAGCTAAAAGGAAAAAAATAAGCTCTACGCTCTCCCTCCAGAAGCTCCCCATGCTGTGGAGAGCAGCTGCTGACTCCGAGTCCAGGAAGGGCCAGGCAGGCTCCTGAGTGATGTCAGCAGCCAGCTCAGCAAGGTGGCGGAGTCCCCATCTATACAGAGTTCTTAGTTTCCAGGAATGGTCAGCAGGGTGACCCAAACAGTGTGATTGGAAATCTCTGGGATCAAATACTCAGCACACATTTCCTTGTCTGATCCTCACATGCATCCCGAGCATGTCCAGCAGTCTGGGTGAAGTCATCACATGCATCCCGAGCATGCCCAGCAGTCCAGGTGAGGTCATCACATGCATCCCGAGCATGCCCAGCAGTCCAGGTGAGGTCATCACATGCATCCCGAGCATGCCCAGCAGTCCAGGTGAGGAGATGGTGGTTCAAGGTGAGGAGCAACTGGGCTTTGCTGAGCATCATGCTGGACCACCTAGCAAGTAATTCGGGGCTTTTCTTAAGTAGAACTATTTTGTTTCATTTTTGTCTATTATTTTAAATCTTTTACACAATATGATTTAAATTTTATGCTATGAAACACAACCTTGATCCAATATTCGTTAATGACTTCTCCCACTGAACTCTGAAATAGCTAAAGGGCATAAGTGAATTTCAGAGAAACTGTCTCAGCTGTGAACGTAATGCTCTGATCTTAGGCCGGGGGTTGTAGGAACCTCTAGACAAGATATAAGTTAGCACCACACAGGAAATCTGTGAAAGACTTTTGCCCCATATTACAGATTGGAATTCGCCCACGTGGCACATTCGGCCCTTTGGTAGGACAAGGGTTAGAAAACTTCTCCTGAGACGAGCGTTCTTCACAAGGTCCCCTTGGAGCTTCATCGCCAATAGTGCACACATTCATCTTTAGGAAGTCACCTGCATGGAAGTTGGTTAGAGGGTGCACAGCATTAGCAGTGGCTTGTTTGATATGCATTTTTTTAAAAACAACTAACCCTCAAGGAGCCTCCAAAGAAAGGCACAGAGCCTGGGGTGCCTAAAAGAAATTTACTTGCTGAACTGCATGGCCTTCGTTTTCAAATGAGCTCCTCTAACAAGCCCAGAAGCTCCACACAACTCCAGGAAAAGACCCTGAAAATTCCTTCCCATCATTCTAATGGGTTGCAGATGGGCCAGGAAGCTTCCTGCCATTTTTTATTGTTAGTTCGCTTCCTTTCTTCTGTCTGGAATTTTATGAGTTGCTTTTCTTATTAACCTCCAGGATGCCTGCATCAACCCACTGAGTCACTCCAGGGTGGTAGATGGGCTCTCTCCTCAGCCAGCATATGTCTGTTAGCCATGTCCAGCAAGACGAACACAAAATGTATTTCTGTAAAGATATTAAACTCACTTGAACAGCTGTCTTCATCCAACTCTTGGGGGTCTGGGACATTACAGGAGGAATCTCAAGATCAAGGCTAGCCTGGAGATGAAGCAAAACCTTCTCTCAGAGAAACAAAAGAAAGGAAATCCTCTATCCCTGTGAACTTGTCAGGGCCTCAGGTTTCACTCAGCAAGGAGCACTAGAAGTTTGCCAGGGCCATCTCAGTGTACCCAGGGTGAGGAACTGGAGCCATTTCTTTCATCCAGGTGTCTGTCATTGTCACTGACAGGAATTAGTGAGCGTGTCACTTGTCTGAATGGAGGCCTGCTGCCCTGAAGCCACTTGTTGGATGGAAATGGGGAAAGAATGCCTTGTTTTAGTGGGCAAACTCTACCAAGTGGTTTCACACTGGGACATGGGAATTGGAACAATTTGGAACCTTGTCCCCAGGCCATGGCCACTGACATTGGGCTCAAGAATAAACTCTCTTATGCCCTCTAGAGTAAGAACTACATTTTCGGTTGGCCAAGGTCATCAGTGGGTCATTCAGGGGGCTCACTATGACCTGAATTTGGGGCTCAAACTGCAGTGTATTATAACTCCTTGATTTATTGACTAGATGAATAATGAGGTGTTTGAATCAACCTTGCTATTGAGTTTCAGAGCACAGCTTCCCATCCATCCACATGATCAAGGCACTGAGATGTTTCTATAGGCAGGGCTCCATCAGCTCATCTGGGCATTACAGAGACCCATCCTCAAGGTGTACTGACACCTGCCCTGTTTGCAGGAATCCTCTTCTTGGAAGCAATTGGGCCCTGCCATGAAGAAAGAGTGTCCTTGGCACCGTGTTCCACCTACCATCCATGGCCATGGAGAGTGCCTGAGTAACGAGCTTCCCGTGAATACTCCGAGAACTGAGAGTACCACAGCGAATACTGTGAGATGACAAGTACTCGTCATGGTGAGGGCACACCGAGTGGACAACTTGCAGTTGGAAGCTTTAGATCCAGAAGTCCTGGATTCAAATCCTACCTCTAGCATTCAGTGTACAAAACAGCAGCCTACAGAATGGGAAAAGATCTTCACTAATCCCACATCAGACAGAGGTCTGATCTCCAAAATATACAAAGAACTCAAGAAACTTGACATCAAAGAAAAAAAATAATAATCCAATAAAAAATGGAGTACAGACCTAAATAGAGAATTCTCAACAGAGGAATCTAAAATGGCTGAAAGACACTTAAGGAAATGTTCAACATCCTTAGTCATCAGAGAAATGCAAATTAAAACAACTCTGAGGTTCTATCTTACACCTGTAAGAATGGCCAAGGTTAAAAACACTGATGACAACTTGTGCTGGAGAGGTTGTGGGGTAAAGAGAACAGTCATGCATTGCTGGTGGGAGTGCAAGCTGGTATAGCCCCTTTGGATATCAGTGTGGTGATTTCTCAGAAAATTAGGAAACAACCTTCTTCAAGATCCAACAATACCACTTTTGGGTATATATTCAAAGGATGCTCAATTGTGCCACAAGGATATGTGCTCAGCTATGTTCATAACAGCATTGTTTGTCATATCCATAACCTGGAAACAACCTAAATGCTCCTTGACTGAAGAATGGATAAGGAAAACGTGGTACATTTACACAATGGAGTACTACACAGCAGAAAAAAAAATAACGACATCTTAAAATTTGCAGGCAAATGGATGGAGCTAGAAAACATCATTTTGAGTGAGGTAACCCAGACACAGAAAGACAATTATCATATGTATTCACTCATAAGTGGCTTTTAAACATAAAGCAAAGAAAACCAGCCTACAAACCACACCCCCAGAGAACTTAGACAACAATGAGGACTCTAAAAGAGACATGCATAGATCTAATCTACATGGGAAGTAGAAAAAGAGAAGATCTCCTGAGTAAATTGGGAACATGGGGACCTTGAGGGAGGGTTGAAGGAGAAGAGAGAGGCAGGGAGGGGAGCAGAGAAAAATGTAGAGCTCAATAAAAAATCAATAAAAATTAAAAAATTAATAAATAAATACTATTATTTCCATTCAAAAAAGAAAGAAAAGAAAACCCTACTTCCCTTGTTACTTTTGCCATGAGGAAGGCATTGGGTGAGTGTGTAAGAGGTGTTTGTCTTCCATGCACACCCAGTGTCCACTCCAGGTCTCACGTGTCTGCAGCTGCTGAAGCAGAAAGAGCCCCATCCGACCCTGTCCATTCTGCGCTCCGTGCCTCTGTGACAGGCTGAAAGCCTGGCATGAGGCCCCGTCACATGATCTTTCTGTCTCCTCTCTTCCAGTGACATCTTAGGTGTTTACGAGAAGAATCCACATGAAGGAAGCTTGTGCTTCTGAGTCCCTGAGATGCACCTGCAGCAGACAAGGCTAGGTAAGGGTATCTATGCCAAGTCACACTCAGAGGACTTGGCTGCCATCCCAGGACCCAAAAGGTCTTCAGTGCTAAGCAGCCACCAGCAGGAAAAGAAGGAGGGGAAAGGGTTTGAATGCCACCAGAAGTCTCTGATGGAAAGAATTTCCAGACCTGGGACAAAGCAAGCAGTGGCTAGGCCTTAACTGGAGCAGCACTGGGTTCCAAAAGCAGATAAAACTGAAAGGAAAGGAAAGGAAAAGAAACAAAACCTTATTTCTATTAAGCTTATAAATATGGCATCCATCCCCCAGAGATGGGACAGATTACCATGTCCCATCAGAACCTCACTGCTAGCACTGTCCTAGACTAAAACAAAGAGAAGCATCTCCATGGTTTTACCCCAGTGATCATCCCAGTCTTCCTCTGGGAGCTGTATGAATAAATAAAACCTATCCCTTCCATTCACTGTTGTCTACCGTCAAGGGTCAGTATTACGCTCTAGAAAGTGCTTCCGTCAGAACAGCACAGGAAAAGTGAGCAGGCTGAAGACCAAGGCAGATGGAGAAGGAGCCAGAGGTCATTTTCTGTGAGCAGATACAGCCCAATAAAGTTATGTGTGCAAGATGCATCATCCACCTGGAGATCCTTCACAGAGTGGGCAGAAGTTCCTCGCAGAAGGACGAGAATTATCATCCAAATATTCACAATGGTGTCCTTCCCACCAGCCTTTCTCTGGGCACAACCCAGTCCTCGCAGTTTCAGACCCACTGGGCATTTGCCCACCACGTTTCAAGCAGTCCCAAGGATGCCTTCTCTCTCACAGCCTCCAGCCGTTGGCCAGCTCCCAACAGAGGACATGTTCCCTTAAGCCGGGAGGTCAGGCATGGCTTGACACACAGAGGACTTGTGTCTCTTATGTTGGTTGTGTGATCATAAGTTCTTGGAGGCATACATGAACATGTGTGTGTGAGTATGGAGGCCAGAGGCTGACATAGGTATCAATCCTCAGGCACTGCCTACTATGTTTTGGGACAGATCTTTCACAGAACCCAGAGCTCGTGGATTCAGAGAGACTGACTGGCCACAAAGCTCCAGTAATCAGCCCATCTCACCCCAGTGCTGAGACAGGCACCCATCAACATAACTGGCTGTCTCATAGAGGTGTTCAGAATTCAAACTCAGGCCTTAATGCTTGTGTGCAAAACTGAGTCCTCTCCCTAGCTCTGGGTATCTCCTCCAATGACCTCCATCTACAGAAATTCAACTTCCGTTCATGGTGAAGGAGTGTAAGCCGCTGCCAGAATTTTCAATGCTGCAGGGCTTCTCTCTGGCCAACTATGACTCAATCGGGTCTTAAGCAAAAGACCTGGAACATTCTTCACGTTTGGAAGCCAAGCACAGGATGGAGGCACTCGGTTCCCGCTCTCGCTGCCTGTGTCCAACACTGCAGAAGATGCAATGACCTTCCCTTCAGATGCACAAAGGCATGAGCTCAGGAGGACTCTGGCATGCCAACGGCCACAGATTTCTGCACAACAGTGTCTGCTCCCTGGGGACAGTCCCAAGCTGCCTCTCACCTTGGAATATTTTAGGAGTCCTGGGAATAGGACAGGAATGACGAGGACTTGTTGTAGCCAAGCGTCATGCGTGTCCTTCAGTACTTGCCTGACTCCATCTGATCTTCTGCTGAGTGGTAGAAACAGTCAGCAGCCTATGGGCTGGTTAGTACCCAAGATGCCACATGGTGTTCCGGTCTGTTTCTGATACTGTAACAATACCTTTGAGCTGGTCATTTATTACAGAAAAGAGCTCTGCTTCGACTAATGATTTTAGTGCAGGCTGCTCTGTACCCTGAGGTAGAGGGGACTGCAAAAGAGATGGAAAGAAGACTAAACTCTCAAAATAAGTGGAAAAAAAAAAAACATGAACCCTCCTGTCATTAGAGGCCTGGTAACAGCTCCACTACCTCATAATACGATGACAGTGAGGACCAGACTTGAGCCTGGGGGAGATAAGTCATATCCAAGGAGCATCCTAAAATAGGAAAGTTTTCTTCTAAGATATCTCCTGGAACTGTGTTTCAAAAATTCCCCGTCGACTGTAGAGATGGCTCAGCTAGTACAGTGCTTGTCTTGCAAACCTTAGTACCTGCATTTAATCCCCAGAATCCACATTTAAATAAGTAAGTAAGTAAATAAATAAATAAATAAATAAATAAATGCCAGGCATGGTGGTGTGCACCTGTAATGCTGGGGAGGCAGAGACAGGAGGATTTCTGGAGCTCACTGGATACCCAGTCTTGCTTACTTGGTAAACTCCTGCCATAAAAAACAAGGAGCCTATCTATGCCTAAGCAACACTTCTACACTGGCACATACACAAATTCTCTCTCTCTCTCTCTCTCTCTCTCTCTCTCTCTCTCTCTCTCTCTCTCTCTCTCACACACACACACACACACACACACACACAAATACCCATGTACACAAAATATCCCCTTGTGCTATAAGTAAGGACAGGCATCAACATCTGGGCCAGCTGACAAACCACTGGAGAATCTGCAGAACCTTTCATCCCCAAAGGCCTCCCACTAAGCTAGAGTTGCTACAATGCACCTCTTAGTCTTGGTTCCCCCTGCTTTTCTTGGAGGGTTTCACTTTGCAAATACTGGTGATCCTGTCACTGTGACATTTACATTGTAATGTAGATACTGTTACTGTGACCATCCCTTTGACAAAGTATCTGATAAAAGCAGCTGAAGAAAAGGAGGGAGGGAGGGAGGGAGGGAGGGAGGGAGGGAGGGAGGGAGGGAGGGAGGGAGGGAGGGAGGGAGGGAGAAGGTTTCTGTTTGATGTTTGAAAGGACAGTCCATTGTTTGGGGGAAGGCATGGCGACAGGGGAGTAAGAATCTAATCATATTGTACCCACTGCCAGGAAAAAGAATGCCACATTCTTTATGCCAATTGATCATGGCAATCAGTGATGGAAGGAAATACCACACTAGGCCCATTGTGTCTTATTCACTGAATCTCACCACACCCACCGTGCCTCACTGTGCCCCACTGCCCCTCACCACGCCCACTCTGCCCCACTGTAGCTCACTCCACCTAGGACATGTATTTCTTCACTCTGTGTCCTTGCTTATGCTCTTTCTTCATCCAGAAAGTTTAACCTTGGCTTCCTCCTTACATATATCACAAGCAAAACCCAGACCAACATCATTCTCTTCCACCCCCAACTCAAAAATGCTAATGGACGTTACAACTCTTGGATCTGTTAAAAACATCAAACGAGACCATTCTCTGTTACTATAGCAAAGGACCCAGGGATGGGTTCTTTATAAAGAAAAAAAAAACATTATTTAATTCATAGTTGTCGAGGTTCAAGGAATGGACTCACAGTTCTGGTGATGTTATTCATCACAGATGACATCACAATGGCAGGTGTGTGTGTGTGTGTGTGTGTGTGTGTGTGTGTGTGTGATTGTGACAGGTATGACAGGAAACCTGGAATCCCCAGCCCTTATACAGAAGAGATTTGTTTTGTTCATGGTTATAGATGCTCAAGGGCATGACCCCAGCATCTGTGCAGCTGGGATGAAGGTGTCATGCATGACAGATGACATCACAGGAAACAAGAGTGAGCATGTAACAACTTCTCTTTAGGAGACACCTCTTAAAGGGCCTGCCACCTCTCAACATCATCACCCTGAGGTCAAGTCTTCTGGCACATGAGGCCGTGGGGCCCTGTAATGCTGAGCAGAGAGCACAGCTGGGAGGTGCTTAGTACAGTACGGTTCTTAGAGAGGGTGTCCTGGAGGCAGGCGGGAACCCCCAGAGGCTTTTGCCTGGGAAATGGTGCCGTCATAATCCCCGTTCTAGAAAAACAAGTCCTGGCAGCGGTTTTATTTTGCCACGTAATAAACTACAAGAGATAGAGTTCTGCCCACTCACGTCCAACGCCTATGTGTCTGCATAAACCTTATCAATAACACGGGAAGCTCAGGTGCCGAACGCTGGGCCTCACGTTTGTCCTGGCACGTGTTCTCTCTCTCAGCTGTCACGGCGCCAGCAAGCACATGATAGAGGCTGTGGGAAACGGAGAGCCTCGCCCTTCCCCGTGAGGGTCTCTGAGCAGGCTGCAGCCTTGCCTCCTCCGACAAACCTTCTGGACAGTGCAGGCCTCGCACTTTTTACAAGCCTTGTCCCCTTCAGGGCTCCCCAACAGCGTTAACGAGAGAAAGAGTAAAGTGGGAGAAAGGAAGGCTGGCGCTGCCTGGGGCGTGGTTGGTAGAGAAACGGACTAAGCGGGAAGCTGGGTTCAGTCCCCAGCACTGCATAAACCTGATGTGGTGGTGAACATTTGTAAGCCCGAAACACGGAAGGAGGCAGGAGGATCGGAAATTCAAAGCCAACCTCAGCTGCATAGAGAGTTCCAAGGCCAGCCTGGGACATAAGAGAGCCTATCTCAAAATGAAAAAAAAATAAAATAAAATACAGGAAAAACTTTAACATATTTCAAAAGAAAGTATTGTTGGAAAGTCCTGGGCTTTAGAGACGTCTACTTATGACCCACATGGTAGGAGAAATTGTTGGAGATCACCAAATGCTTTC